GATATGTACTACAGATTCCATTTTCACCATGATTGCACACTCACCTTCCTTGTCTGTGGGTGGGATGGGGGAATGAATGAATGAATAGCACTTTACTATTGGTATAGTGTGTGACAGACACACATACACAAGGTCACATGCGCGCACACACACACAGTCTGAATATGTCTTCATATAATAAACACCGGTTTGTTCATTTTATTCTCTTATCTGTTCTCGCTTCCTTCTCTCATTGGGCTGGTTTGTGTCTCCTGCTAACAGCATGCAGAGTATTCCTTCGTTTACCCGTTTACCTCATTAGATGCACACCAATTAGCCAATTAGAACTCTGGAGCAGGCGCTCCGGTGGTTTTAATTAAAATCTAAGTGCAAATAAACTATCTTTAAAAAACAACAGTGTTTCCTTTGGTCTTGGCTGTGCAGGTAGAGGCAACACAATAACAACCACTTAATGAATCCTACTTAGGCTCAAGCTAATTTAGAAACAATAATAATTTAAGCAGCTAGCAGAGAGAAGAAAAGAAGCCATATACATGTGTGTTTATTGCGTGATATTTACATATTTACAGTATTTTACAGTACTATGTGGTTATGTTCCACACTGACTCAGATTGCACGGCAATAGGTTAGACAGGCCACAGTGGCAGGTTGCCTTGGTGTTTAGACTCCAGAATGTCAAATATAGGTACAGTAGACATATTTGGCTTCATAAATGATGTCATAACAAGGTGAACAATGCACTATTCAGAGTGCCAGAACTGAGAGACACAGTACAGACAGCAGACAGTTCTGTTATTGATCAAGGACTCTTATATAACTATGGCTTCTGTTCTATAAGCAAAGGCTTCAATGGCTTGTCCATGACTATTTGATGATGGATGTTTCAACTACAAAACAGTAAATAGAAGTCTGTTAGTGGCTGTCTGGTGGAGTATACTGAAACGCCTCCTCTCTATTTTATAATATAACAGAAAATATACTGTATATCCTATCCTGGTATAAAGATACAGTGCTGGGTTACAACCACCTCACCAAGACAGGGACAGGGAGAGAATACAGAGAAGCAGAGAGAGAGAGACAGAGAAAGAGAGTTAGATATAGAGCGAAAGATGGAGGAAGGGGATTGTAAGAGGGAGAGAGAGAAATGAACAGATAGTTGGATGTAGTGGGTGTGCTAGGTGTGGAGAAATAGTGTAGAGATCAGATCACTGATACCCTTGAGGCTTTATTCTGTTCTCTGTGGGTAGAGGATAAAGCCCTGCTAGTGTAAACCCCTTACTGTCGGAGTTCACCTCTCCTGGAAAAGGCGGGGGAGTAGATTACTAGATCCCATGCTTAGATAGACTGTTCATATCTCTCTGAGTATGAGTAGATTACTAGATCCCATTCTTAGAAAGGCTGTTCATATCTATCTGAGTATGAGTAGATTACTAGATCCCATGCTTAGAAAGGCTGTTCATATCTATCTGAGTGTTAGTAGATTACTAGATCCCATGCTTAGAAAGACTGTTCACATTTCTCTGAGTGTTTGTAGATTACTAGATCCCATGCTTCGAAAGCCTGGTTGCAACCTGAAATGTTCTCTCTGTTATGTCTATGGCGGGGCTATCATTTTAAAGGCAACTCCTAAAGCGTCTCATAATTAATTTAAACAGCCACAGCCCACACTGTCATAGGAAGAGGCCATAGGTAAATCATGGTTGAAGGAGGTGGAGGAGGGACATACAGAGAAAGAGGTGAGGGGAAAGATGCACTTATGCTGCTGCCATCTGGTGGTAGCTAACATGCACTGCAGTTAGAAAACAGAGGGGTGGATGGGGACACTTACATTTTACATTTACAGTCATTTAGCAGACGCTCTTATCCAGAGCGACTTACAGTTAGTGCATACATTATTTTTTTTCATACCCCCTGTGGGAATCGAACCCACAACCCTGGCGTTGCAAACGCCATGCTCTATCAACTGAGCTACATCCCTGCCGGCCATTCCCTCCCCTACCCTGGACGACGCTGGGCCAATTTCGCGCCGCCCATGGGTCTCCCGCAACCTGAACAATGCAACCTGTACACACACTATCATTTTCCATCAAAACAATTCCAAAATAAAAAATCTATTATACACATTTCATCATATCAAGACATTATCCAGATGGCTTGTACATTAACACATAAAAACAAATAGTTAAGCTTGAATTTGAGCTGCCTTCACTTCAAAAAAGCATAATAATGCCATTGTGGTGGGAAACAGTTCAAATAAGCACAGGTGATTAAAACATTATACCTTACAATTTTTCACTCCACTGATTTTTTATTACAGTTCAAACACTACTTTCCCTTGAGACATACAGTATGGTAAAACACTACATTTCCCACCATTCCGAGGACCAGATTCACATCATAATGCATCTTGTGCCACAATGACCAGCATCAACACACAGAAGAACCACAGGAAGACAGCAGAGTTGTATTCATTAGTGCACACCGTAGCAAAACAATTGAAAACTAATATGAGCGTTTCTTATTGGACAAGTTCAGGTAGTCCCTTCCTGTTTAAGTCTGTTTGCTTCTATTTGGTGCCTAGTGAGTACGACCCAGAGGACAGAGACATTGCTAAGGCATTGAATACCTCCCCGTTATAGTTATAACCCTGATGATTTCATATGTTTTGTTGCCCAATATAATCTTTATAATAATATATACATCACATATGTACTTTATGATCATTTCATATTATACTATGGAGTATGTATGAATATTAAATGGGTGAACTGAAGATGGGTATGGCTGTGCCGTGTGTGCCTTCGCACGTGTGTGTTTGTCTAGCCAGCAGCTCTCCTCCTAGACACCACCACTTTAACTATCACCTCACAGAACTGTTATTAACACATTGTGACATTGCATAAACCTGTCAATCAAAGTCAGGGGGTTCAGACTACGGCATACAGATCCTGGTGCAATTGCATTGGGGCTAAAAAGCCGTATGAGTGAAAACACTGATCACTGGTGTGAGCTGTGATTTGGCTAACATCACCTCCCATTCTTTTCTGTACTGACTATTACACTGCATTGTCTGTAGTGACTTTTACAATATTATTATTATACGGCCTGATCCGCCTGCCTGAGTGTGTTTTTGAGTGTGTTTCAGTGTTAAGTCATTATTCCCTTAAATGTTGCTAAATCCTTAATTAGAGGATTATGAAGGAAGGCACTGCCTGGAACGTCTACTGGAAACCCCCTTCCGGGGAGAGGGGAGGGGAGGGGAGGGGAAGGGAGGGGAGGGGAGGGTGGAGAGAGGGAGAAGATAGAGTAAGGAAGAGAGAGAAGGAGAAAGGGAGAAAAAAGGGGGGTTAAAAGAACAGAAAGAGAGAGAGATACAGACGATAGAGGGCTGGAGGCCCCAACAGTAGGGGTAACAGGAGACAGTCAGAGTATTCCCGTTTGTTTTCTGTCAGAAGGAAGAGAAAGAGCGGAGAGAGAAGAGAGAGCGGGGGCCTCTTGCATCCGTCGTAGGGTAGCATCGCATCGCTAGCTTGTTCCCTGACAAACCAGCCAGGCCCCTATCAGATCAACACACAGCGACAGCCCCGTGTAAGAACATGAGGGGTGGGGTGGCGATGATATCCCCCATCATCCCTCTCTCTCATCTTATGTGTGTGTGTGGCAGGTTGGTATTTACTGGGATGACTCATGTACTGGAAGCTGCTCTGCAGGGTGGTCACTAGCTGCCACAGCCACAAAGTCATACAATCTGATTTTAAACCTAACCCTAATCTTAACCCTAACCTTAATCACACTGCTAACATTATGCCTAAGCCTAAATAAAGACCAAAAAGCAAATCTTTGTTTTCTGGATTTTTTTTACAATATAAACTATTTTGACTTTTCGGCTGGACCAGCTAACAAAAACCGCTCAGCTCTGCCTCCAGGACAAGATTCATCCCAATAAACGTTAACCTGTGTGTGTGTCGTGTTCAGTGGCAGCGATTGTAATCTGTGATGATGGGTGTGGGAGGTGTTTCATGACAGCGTTAGGGTTAAGTAGCTTGCTCAAGGTCACATTGACAGATTTTTCACCTTGTCGGCTTGGGATTCGAAATAGCGACCTTTCAACGCTCAAACCGCTAGGCTACCTGCCGCCCTATCTAGGCTACCTGCCGCCCTGTGTGTGTGTGTGTGTACGTGGGTGTGTGTGTGTCTCTTCTCTTTCTCACTCTTTTGTCTTTCACTTTTCCAAATCCATAGATAGTCTTAGCTATATCCTGGGTGGTGTGGATGGATGGATAAATGGTTGGATGGATAGATGGATGGATGGATGGGCGGCATTTAAATATTTCAGTAACAACTTGCGGTAGCTGTGTTGACAGAGGGAGAGAGGTGGATGTGAGGGAGAGAGGGAGAGAGGGAGAGAGGGAGAGAGGGAGAGAGGGAGAGAGGGAGGGACGGAAGGAGAGAGCTGGGTTCTGTCAAACGTCCTTCCCCTGCTGACAGCCAAGCTGTTGAAGTGGTGGAGCAGAGCAGAGAGAACCAGTCACTAGTCTGTTGCAGAGAGAACCAGTCACTAGTCTGTTGCAGAGAGAACCAGTCACTAGTCTTTTGCAGAGAGCACCTAGTCACTAGTCTGTTGCAGAGAGAACCAGTCACTAGTCTTTTGCAGAGAGAACCAGCCACTAGTCTGTTGCAGACAGAACCTAGTCACTAGTCTGTTGCAGAGAGAACCAGTCACTAGTCTGTTGCAGAGAGAACCAATCACTAGTCTGTTGCAGAGAGAACCCAGTCACGAGTCTGTTGCAGAGAGAACCCAGGCACTAGTCTGTTGCAGAGATAACCAGTCACTAGTTCAATGAGGAACCCCTCTTTTCCCAAAGGTCTCTGGGACGTTGCTGAGGCAACAGCCAATAGGAGGGCTGGAATCCCAGATAAGGAAGTCCCATCTCAGCAAGCTGTCAGATCAAGCATAGTGTCTGGTACTAAACCAAACAGTATTTTTCTTTCTTCAGGACTCACTCCTCTCCTTCCTCCACATAGGTAGATGGAAACCAGCCCACCTGCAATAAAAATAAGAACAATTATGTAAAAAAATATAGGGGTGTGTGTGGACTGTTGTTACACCCCCCCACCAATAGCCTTCAAGACGACACCTGAGTGGAAAATCTGAACAGAGGGGGGAGAGGATTATGATGGTGATACTTTTCAATAGGTATCCGGCAGAGTGATTAGCCTATTAGCCAGTTAACCAGTTAGCTTGTTAGCATTTTAGCCAGTTAACTAGCTAACCAGTTAGCTGAAACTAGTTAGCATGTTAGCTTAGTGTCTGTGAAGGCTATAGCTGTGCAGGGATAATAGTATTCAGCAGCAGTCCTTCACTAGCCTACTTCCTCCTATTATCTGATTCACTAGAGAGAGAAGCTCTATTCCCACAACCACAATGGCATTTAGAGTATTGCATTACTAGCTAGCACCGGCCCATCTCTTCCACTCTAAAGAGGGGCAGCAGTGCAGTGCTCTGCTACAGACCACTGTTTAGTGATCACTAGAGCAGAGTCAACAGACAGACACCAAGGCTCAATAACAGGGAACAGATCTCAGTCTACACAGCAGCTCGCACAAACACACTCACACACATTATTAGTTCAACGTCTAGTTTTGATTTCAATTTGGTTGAGTTGTCAATTTATGTGAATTCAACGTGAAACCAATAAATACATTTTTACCATGTCATTAAAAGTTGGGTGAAAAAAAGACTAAATGCCCTTTTAGCAAATCCAATTAATTTTCCACATTGATTCAACGTCATCACATAGATTTTTTGGGATTGAAATGACGTGGAAACAACGTTGATTCAACCAGTTTTTGCCCAGTGGGGAGTCACTCACATACACTCAAAGTTAGACATACACATAACTGCAGACTCAAACAAAAACATATATACATCATGCATTTGAATAGGACCTGTTCATAGGCAATATCAAACAGGGACACAGACCTAACCATGAGAGAGGCATCTATACCATGTTGGTATGTATATATGGCATGCACTGTATGTTTGTGTGTTTATTTGTTTGTTTTGTACGTGACTCTCTCTCCCCGCCTCCCCATGAGGATAACAGATAGGTGATTGGATGTGGATGGAGTGATTGATTGGCGTCTGGAGGGGCCACTCACCCTGCCGCTGACCTCTCCCCTCCACCAGCCATTGGCTCCTGACTTGGTGTAGATCTTGACTACGTCTCCCTCCTGTAGAGACAGCTCTCTGGTGTCCCTGGAGCTGAAGTCATAGCGGGCTATCGCCACACCCATCACCTTCGGGGTGAACACTGTGGAGAGAGAGAGAAGAGAGAGAGAGAAGAGAGAGAAGAGAGAGAGAGAGAGAGAGAGAGAGAGAGAGAGAGAGAGAGAGAGAGAGAGGATAGAGAGAGAGAGAGAAGCAATTAAAGGAGAAAATGGAAAGGGAATTTAAGAGAAAGAGAAAAAGAGAGGGATAGAAGTCAGCTTCATAAGACAAACTCCTATTTCTCTCTCACACTGAGATGGATGTTATCCTCTCTTTCACCCCAGACAGACATGGTCTAGAGGGAGATGTGGCGGCGTGCATAATCGCATCATTCCCTTCTCTTTCCCCCCTTTCCCCCCTGTCTTAGCCCAGCCCATTTAAATAAATGATTTGTGCAAAGCCAGGGCACATCCAGTCCAAATGAAGTGTCTGTTTAGATTGTGGGCTTGATTGTGTCAACAGCGTAATCCACACTCATATGGGTGGCTGGGTCAATTATAAACCAGAGCGTTTGAAGGGAGGAACACTAAAAGGTTCCTCCAATCTGTCTCTACTTGGATGCTATGTTATCTTTAACAGACCATAGACTGTGCATACACAAATACTAAGCATGTTGCTCTACAATGATGTCTTCATTAGTTTTGTATGTGTGTTGTACAGTATGGTGCTGTGATTAGAACATAGCTTTGTTATATTATGATGCTTCAACACATCCCATCTGAAATACAGCCAGGAGAGAGAGAGAGAGAGAGAGAGAGAGAGAGAGAGAGAGAGAGAGAGAGAGAGCGAGAGAGAGAGAGAGAGAGAGAGAGAGAGAGAGAGAGAGAGAGAGAAGGCAGGCATGCAGGCAGGCAGGCAGGCAGGCAGGCAGGCTGGCTGGCTGGCTGGCTGTTTGTGTGTGTGTGTGTGTGTGTGTGTGTGTGTGTGTGTGTGTGTGTGTGTGTGTGTGTGTGTGTGTGTGTGTGTGTGTGTGTGTGTGTGTGTGTCTGCTGCTGATGTGAAATACCTTGGCTTGTGCAGACAAGGTAGAGACCGGTCTGTCTGTCTGTCTGTCTGTGAGCTGCAGTCATGCACACAGTAAGATAACAATGGGAAAAGACAGATATGGAGCTGGAGCTGGTTAGCTCTGCTGGGTACATGGCAGGTTTGGACTGTAATACTACTGCTGTTGTGGAAAGATGCTTCACTGGCCTGACAGCTTAAATAGGGTGTTTTGATTGGTCTGCAGAGGTGTCATTCAGGGTCACTGGGGTGTGATATGATGACCCAGTCAGGGTCAATCTATTTGGGCCATATCTTGGTGCTAACACAAATACAAACAAACACTATGTATACACACGCACACAGGCACACACGCACACACACACACACATTTCCAGGCACATGGAGGGAGGTGAGATGGTGAGATGATACAGTTAGTGATAGCAGCAAGGATAGCAAGACTAGAGACAAGGCCCACTACGCATGCTAAACAGTCAGGGCCCAAAATGAAAGGAGTAGAAATAAAAAGTGGTACCTGTACCTGACCAGAAAGGAGCGGAGGAGGGAGGAACAAAGCTGTAGCCGGCAGGAGTTACATAAGTCAGCCCACAGAGCAATGGGGCTATAGCATGGGAGAGGGGGGGGGAGGGGAGGGGTGAAAGCAGGGTAGAGGAGTGAAGGGGAAGAGGGGAGGAAAGGGGTGAAATCAGGGTAGAGGAGGGGAGGGGAGAGGAGGGGAAAGGGGAAAGGGGTGAAAGCAGGGTAGAGGAGGGGAGGGGAAGAGGAGGGGAAAGGGGTGAAAGCAGGATAGAGGTGGGGAGGGGAAGAGGAGAGGGTGGAATAAAGGAGAGAGAAGCAAAGGAAAAGCATTTTAATCCCAACTCAAAGTTTACAGGCAAAATAAGTAGCTGGCAGTAGAACAGTGCAGTTTGATAGGAAATGAAAAGATACTGTGGCCAGAACAATCTCACTGAGCTCAGTTGGTGAAAATCTAAATGATGGTCCCTCCCTAGAATGCCTGCTGGAGTACTTTCCATTTCATTTCAAAAACCCATTCAGGGACTGAACTGAAGTTCAAATCAATTATTTGAAAATGTCCATTCCTTTTTAGAATGCGTTGATTTCCGATAAATGGACACGTTTATTTATTTAACAGACAGTATACTTTTCAAACGCTACCCATTCATATTTTATGAGATACTGAACTGACATTAATGGCATTGAAATTAAATTTACTTAACTGTGTTTCTTTGTGTCCAGACTGTGTGTGTGTGTGTGTGTGTGTGTGTGTGTGTATGTGTATGTGTGTGTATGTGTATGTATGTGTGTGTATGTGTGTGTGTGTGTGTGTGTGCGTTTGTGTTTGCCTAATACCAGTCAAAAGTTTGGACACACCTACTCATTCAAGGGTTTTTCTTTATTTGTACAATTTTCTACATTGTGGAATAATAGTGAAGACATCAAAACTATGAAATAACACATATGGAATCACGTAGTAACCAAATCTAAATAGATTTTAGATTTTAGATTCTTCAAAGTAGCCACCCTTTGCCTTGACAGCTTCGCACATTCTCTCAACCAGCTTCACCTGGAATGCTTTTCCAACAGTCTTGAAGGAGTTCCCACATATGCTGAGCACTTGTTGGCTGCTTTTCCTTCACTCTGCGGTCCAACTCATCCCAAACCATCTCAATTGGTTTGAGGTCGGGTGATTGTGGAGGCCAGGTCATCTGATGCAGCACTCCATCATTCTCCTTTTTGGTCAAATAGCCCTTACACAGCCTGGAGGTGTGTTGGGTCATTGTCCTGTTGAAAAACAAATGATAGTCCCACTAAGCGCAAACCAGATCGGATGGCATATCGCTGCAGAATGCTGTGGTAGCCATGCTGGTTAAGTGTGCCTTGAATTCGAAATAAATCACAGACAGTGTCACCAGCAAAGCACCCCCACACCATCACACCTCCTCCTCCATGCTTCACGGTGGGAACCACAAATGCGGAGATCTTCCGTTCACCTACTCTGCGTTTCACAAAGACACGATTTCCACTGGTCTAATGTCCATTGCTCGTGTTTCTTGGCCCAAGCAAGTATCTTCTTCTTATTGGTGTCCTTTAGTAGTGGTTTCTTTGCAGCAATTCCACCATGAAGGCCTGATTCACGTAGTCTCTGAACAGTTGATGTTGAGATGTGTCGGTTACTTGAACTCTGTGAAGCATTTATTTGGGCTGCAATCTGAGGTGCAGTTAACTCTAATGAACTTATCCTCTGCAGCAGAGGTAACTCTGGGTCTTCCTTTCCAGTGGCGGTCCTCATGAGAGCCCGTTTCATCATAGCGCTTGATGGTTTTTGCGACTGCACTTGAAGAAACTTTCAAAGTTCTTGAAATCTTCCGGATCGACTGACCTTCATGTCTTAAAGTAATGATGGACTGTCATTTCTCTTTGCTTATTTGAGCTGTTCTTGACGTAATATGGACTTGGTCTTTTACCAAATAGGGCTATCTTTTGTATACCACCCCTACCTTGTCACAACACAACTGATTGGCTCAAACCCATTAAGAAGGAAAGAAATTCTACAAATTAACTTTTAAGAAGGCACACCTGTTAATTGAAATGCATTCCAGGTGACTACCTCATGAAGCTGGTTGAGAGAATGCCAAGAGTGTGCAAAGCTGTCATCAAGGCAAAGGGTGGCTACTTTGAAGAATCTAAAATCTAAAATATATTTTGATTTGTTTAACACTTTTTGGGTTACTACATGATTCCATTTGTGTTATTTGATAGTTTTGATGTCTTCACTATTATTCTACAACGTAGAAAATAATAAAAATAAAGAAAAACCCTGGAATGAGTAGGTGTGTCCAAACATTTGACTGGTACTGTACATGTGTGTGTTTGCGTGTGTGTGCTTTCCTGTGTGTGTGTGCGCGTGTATGTGCATGCAAGCTCGCTTGCATATGTGTGTGTGTGTTTACCCCTCTCAAGCACAATACCACCCCATGCACCTGCTATCCGCACTGGCAGCCCTGGTCCTCATCCTGCTACCATATGAATCCCCATCTGACCAGCAGGCCCAGAGCAATGCAACAGAGCTGATGTCAACCACGCAATATGTTTACCCTGCTCACAGTCACAGGGCTAACGACTGCTGCTATACAGCCCCACACAGAGACATTTTATTCATGAGCCACCGCTGCCTATCCATACTAACAACCCACTGTCTGCTGTGTTAGGTCATTATCAGACACACACACACACACACACACACACACGAGTGTGCGGGCACGCAAGCAACATACACACCACCAACCAGAGTACCAGACTCCCTGGTCAACTCTTGTAAGCATATTCTCAAAAAATGCATATTAGGAGAAGCTCATTGACAGACTAAATGCCAAGCCTGGTTTCTATCACAGGGAGGAAGATCAGAGGAGAAATCTGATGAGCATTTTAATATCTGTAGGTTATATCTCTCTCTCCTCTGCAGGAAATATGTTTCCACTAGACACATACTGTATCATGCAGGTAATAACCTACATATTACCCATGTGTGATGGATCAACAGTGATGCTATGGCCCTCAACAATGTTGATTAAAGTTGTAAATTCCAGTAACTTTCCCCAAATTCCCTGGTTTTCTAGAAATTCCGGTTGGAGGATTCCCAGATTTCCTGATTATTCCATCCTGCTTATTCCATCTTCCAACTGGGAAGTCTGATGCTGCCAGGGTTGATTATGGTGTAAATCAGTAGGGACCAGGAGGGTTCTGAGATATTTACAACAGAGTCATGTCAAAAACACAACATAAACTGCATTAGCATTTCAGCCATACTGGTAGAAATGAACAACTAAACAAAAGAGTGATTTACAAGTAAAGAAGGGAGCTGAATTCTATGAGTTGGGGCCTTAGAGAGAATGAGAGAGAAGGAGAGAGGGGGAGAGAGGATGAGAGAGGAGGAGAGAGAGGGAGAGGGGAGAGAGGAGGAGAAGGCTGAGAGAAGAGAGAGGAGGAGGAGAGGATGAGGAGGATGAGACGTAGGATGCTCGGAGCTCTGGCGGAGCTCTACGTAGCGCGAGCAGGCACGCGACGCGGGCACCCCCTCGCTCCTCGTCGAGCTCGCGCCCCCCGTGGCCTGCCTTTCCCCTCCCGCGCCCTCTGCCGCTCCCGCGCCTGCTCGCGCCTGGCTCTGTTAGAGACTTTCGCCGTAAGAGCTTCAGAAGAACCCAAAAAAGAGTGGGAAAAGAAACAGGTTGGAATTCAATTTTCTCAGTGAGAGACAAGTTGTTTTTCATCCTTCCTTCCTCCCTCAATGTTGTTTGTGTGAGACATTTGAGTGACAAGCAAAATGAAAAGTGAGACATGCAGCATCCAGCTTCTGACTCACTGTGATCATCTGCCTTTCTTTTCTGTCTTGTTTCCCCTGCACTTGCAACATGACCTTCAGCGAATCCTGGGAGTTTTTCTTGCGCTTTTCGCACGGTGACATATGGTGCTACAATAAAATCTAATCTCAGCACTGATTGCAATGCGTCATAAACTCCCATCAACCCCAGAGAGAGGCTCCAGTGCTGCGGGTGTGCTGCCGGCGTCGGTACTGCGTTTAACCCCTTCCTCACCACTGGGATCCAACATGCAACTTCTCCTCTGTCTCTGCTGTCTTCTTATCCATGCTGTAACAGCAGTACAGGACTATACAGTATTCATCATGTACAGTAACACAGTGCTCCTAACACCATTTTGACTGACAGGGACCACCACTATAGTCTGACTCTGATTGAGAATCACTTCTATTAAAACTAGAACTAGAAACTGATTCAGAACCATCCAGTCCACAAAATCAGTCCACAAAACCAGTCCACAAACTAGTTCACAAACCAGTCCACAAATCAGTTCAGAAACCAGTCCACAAACCAGTTCACAAACCAGTCCACACACCAGTCCACACACCAGTCCACAAACCAGTTCACAAACCAGTTCACACACCAGTCCACAGATCAGTCCACAAACCAGTCCACAAACCAAGGAAAGTGCCAGATACTATACACTATTTGCTTATACAGTTGAAGTCGGAAGTTTACATACATTTAGGTTGGAGTCATTAAAACTTGTTTTTCAACCACTCCAAAAATGTGTTGTTAACAAACTATACTTTTGGCAAGTCGGTTAGGCCATCTACTTTGTGCATGACACAAGTAATTTTTCCAACAATTGTTTACAGACTGATTATTTCATTTATAATTCACTGTATCACAATTCCAGTGGGTCAGAAGTTTACATACACTAAGTTGACTGTGCCTTTAAACAGCTTGGAATATTCCAGAAAATGATGTCATGGCTTTAGAAGCTTCTGATAGGCTAATTTACATAATTTGAGTCGATTGGAGGTGTACCTGTGGATGTATTTCAAGGCCTACTTTCAAACTCAATGCCTCTTTGCTTGACATCATGGGAAAATCAAAAGAAATCAGCCAAGACCTCAGAAAATAAATTGTAGACCTCCACAAGTCCGGTTCATCCTTGGAGCAATTTCCAAACGCCTGAAGGTACCACGTTCATCTGTACAAACAATAGTACGCAAGTATAAAGACCATGGGACCACGCAGCCATCATACCGCTCAGGAAGGAGACGGATTCTGTCTCCCAGAGATGAATGTACTTTGGTGCGAAAAGTGCAAATCAATCCCAGAACAACAGCAAAGGACCTTGTGAAGATGCTGGAGGAAACAGGTACAAAAGTATATCCACAGTAAAACGAGTCCTATATCAACATAACCTGAAAGGCCGCTCAGCAAGGAAAAAGCCACTGCTCCAAAACCGCCATAAAAAAGCCAGACTACGGTTTGCAACTGCACATGGGGACAAAGATCGTACTTTATGGAGAAATGTCCTCTGGTCTGATGAAACAAAAATATAACTGTTTGGCCATAATGACCATCGTTATGTTTGGAGGAAAAAGGGGGAGCGCTTACAAGCCGAAGAACACCATCCCAACAGTGAAGCACGGGGGTGGCAACATTATTTTTAAAAAAAATTGTCATTTAGCAGACGCTCTCATCCAGAGCGACTTACAGTTAGTGCTTACAGTTAGTGAGTGTATACATTTTTTATTTATTTTTATTCATTCTGGCCCCCCGTGGGGGGTGCTTTGCTGCAGGAGGGACTGGTTCACTTCACAAAATAGATGGCATCATGAGGAAGGAAAATTATGTGGATATATAGAAGCAACATCTCAAGACATCAGTCAGGAAGTTAAAGCTTGGTTGCAAATGGGTCTTCCAAATGGACAATGACCCCAAGCATACTTCCAATGTTGTGGCAAAATGGCTTAAGGACAACAAAGTCAAGGTATTGGAGTGGCCATCACAAAGCCCTGACCTCAATCCTATAGAAAATGTGTGGGCAGAACTGAAAAAGCGTATGCAAGCAAGGAGGCATACAAACCTGACTCAGTTACACCAGCTCTGTCAGAAGGAATGGGCCAAAATTCACCCAACTTATTGTAGGAAGGTTGTGGAAGGCTACCCGAAACGTTTGACCCAAGTTGCTACCAAATACTAATTGAGTGTATGTAAACTTCTGACCCACTGGGAATGTGATGAAAGAAATAAAAGCTGAAATAAATCATTCTCTCTACTATTATTCTGACATTTCACATTCTTAAAATAAAGACAGGGACTTTTTACTAGGATAAAATGTCAGGAATTGTGAAAAACTGAGTTTAAATGTATTTGGCTAAGGTGTATGTAAACTTCCGACTTCAACTGTAATACACATTTTTGAGTCAATGTCTTGCCAGTTTCACTATCCAACTATTCCAAAACAAACTGTTCAAAATGTGATTTGTGTCGTCATACAACATGTTCTAACCAACAAAAACGATCAGCTAATGGCTAATTAAATCTGCCAATGACAGATTGAATGAGAGATTGAAATTGGAGCAATCATAATCATCCTGTGAAACACCTGTCCTCTCTCCAGGTGTGTTGCTGTGCTCACAGTGAAATGTCACCCAGCACACACTCTTTACCCAAGACTTATCAGCCAGCTATCGCAGCCATAGCAACACCATTCTAAGGCAAGTTTCTGTGATACTGTTCATAACAAACTCTTATTTTCTTTCAACCAAACCTGCTTCTGGAACTGCCACTAGACCTGCATCCCTTTTCTAGACAAAAGAAAGAACAGTATACAGTATAATTCATATTTTCACTGTCTCAGCAAAGAGCTTACCCAAAACCAAACCATGCATGAATGTAGCTAGCTATATCTACTGGGAGGTTAGTATTCAGTGTTCTTTGTGTTATTCGGCGTCATGGTAGGCAGTCATCACATGAAAGGAACCGAAATTCAATGATGAAGAGTTTGATTGTTATTTGCAGGTCCTGACTAGCAGACCTAAAGGAGGAGCGCCTTCATGTGCACACTCTTAGAAAAAAATGGTTCCAAAAAGGTTCTGCGGCTGTCCCCATAGGAGAACCCTTTTAGGTTCCAGGTAGAATCCTTTTTAGGTCCAGGTAGAACTTGTTTGGGTTCCATGTAGAACCCTTTGTGGAAAGGGTTCTACATGGAACCCCAAATGGTTCTACCTGGAACCAAAAGGGTTCTACCTGAAACCAAAAGGGGTTCTCCAAAGGGTTCTCCTACGGGGACAGCCGAAGAACCCTTTTTGGTTCTAGATAGCACCTTTTTTTCTAAGAGCGTAGTGTTGAGCTGTGTTCGTGTTCATGTTGTGTTGTGTATGTAGTGTTGTTTTGTACTCACTGTTTCCTCCAGGTCTGTTGGTGTGGAGCATAGCAGCATTCTCCTGTTCTCTGTAGGGGAACTGCAGTGTGGTGTCCAGGCTTCTAAAGCCTTCCCTCAATGAATGGTGTTTGTAGTATTCAATTAGTTCCTGTAACACACACGCACACACACACACATTCTCACAGTTAGCCAAATAGCCTCACACAAAAACACCATTGGCATGAAAATGATTTATGAAAAAATAGTAATGTGCTCTATATCATTCAACATTTGTTTTAAAATGTCCTCTGTCCAATGCCAATTAAATGAAAACGACAAAATGATTCACTTAATATGAAGATTAAAGGTTTGGGTGAAATAAAAGCTGCATACACCTACAGAGGACTAACAGTAAAATATGTTATAACTGCAGCTAAAAGCAACACAATCCTGGGTGAATAGAAGGCAAAGAACACATCCAATTCACCCTGGACCGATCCTTGTCTATAATTCTCTACAAGGCCTACGGGCAGTAATGTAAAGCACACCACTAATCAGAGCTATTTTCACACAGCAAGGGGCTCAAAATAAGATTCATGTTTTGACATTTAATTAAAGAAACACTGAGTGATTTATTTTTGTGTGAAATGCAGAGGTGGTCTATAAAACGGAAACAGACTCACTAATATACTCCTGAACTTCTTGTTTTCTGCGATGTGGAAGCAGCCATCTCTGGTCAGGATCTTGATGTGCTTCACGTCATTGTTGTACCTGTGGGCCATGAATAAGTGATGAGTGTAATTTTCTGGTAATCATTGAGATCGATCCCCCAGTAGGGAGGGTGGGGGGGGGGTCTGGACGCTGCCATGGTAATGCTTGGGCCCAAAGGTTTCTGCAGCCTGGTCTCATAGACTAGAAGTAACATATTAAATGTAAACCAGGGACAAGAAATTATTATGATATGTTACGAATGGTATGGTTACATAAGACAGAAGGTTAATAAATAATAATTATAAAGGAGGGTGGTTGGTAGGGGTGGATGGGTGTGCATATAACGCGAATGTCTAGCAACCCAAAAGTTGCGTGTTTGAATTGCAGCATGGGCAACTTTAGCATTTTAGCTAATTAGCAACTTTTCAACTACTTACTACTTTTTAGCTACTTTGCTACTACTTAGCATGTTAGCTAACCTTTCCCCTAATCCTAAACCTAACCTTAACCCTTTAACCCTTTAACCTAATTCCTAACCTTAACCCTAACCTTAAACCCTAACCCTATAACCTAGCTAATGTTAGCCAGCTAGCTAAAGTTAGCTTTAACCCCCTAGCTAACATTAGCCACAACAAATTGGAATTCATAACATATCACACGTTTTTCAAATTCGTATATATTGTATGTTTTACAAATTTGTAACATATCATTCTAACTGTAAATTGTAACATATCATACGAAATGGATGATGGACACCCACAAATGAATACATACCATACGAAACGTAAAATATCATACGAAATGCTCTGAGACTTGGGTTTCTGACACCTGAGTGATGGGGAGGGGTGTGTGTGAGTGAGTGTGTGTGTGTGTGTGTGCGTGTGTAGACGTCGATAGACAGGGGCACCATTCCTCATTACCCCTTGGGACCAGGGGAGGGGGCTGATGGAAGGGCAGTCGCCCCCATTTAGAGGGTCTCAGCAGGGCAGAGTGGGGCAGGGAGGAGGGGAGGGTATGGAGGGTATAGAGACACAGAGCCAATAGCGTCAGCCCCCTTTGTCTGTCTCTCTCAAAGAAAGCCTTCTCCTCTCTTGATCTCTATTATTATCCTCTTATCTCACTCTCAGAGCCGTAATCCCCCCAATAATATGGCCTAATCCATATTCTACGCACCAAAACAAACCCCAGTGACGGGACTATTGTACACTGAAATGCCAGAGCTTAATTTAGACTGACTGGACCCTCTTGGCTGGAGTCTTGTGGCTGTAGCTTGTGGAAGGAAGGCGGCAAGGCCTCAATAACACAGCAGTGTGATGCAGAGGGAGCCAAGGATAGGGCATTGTCTGTTTCAAACACTTTCTTAATGTAGTTTCCACACAGATGTGGAGTTTTCTTTTTTCTCTTTTTCTCTCGTTTTCTTTGTGATGGTTTAAATAACCTTGAGCAGGCTGTATAACAGTCTCTCTGGGTCTATTCACTAGCGCTGCAGCAGTATGCTTCACACGCAAGCAATTAAGACTTCAGCTCTGGTGGAACTTGAAGGCATTGAAAAGCTCTGCTTTCGTAAGAGAGGAAAAAAGGAGGAGATGAATTAAGTGGAGTTGAAGGGAACGTTTCAAGCAGCCTCTCAGAGCAGCTCTCCTTCTCTCTCTCTCTCTCTCTCTCTCTCTCTCTCTCTCTCTCTCTCTCTCTCTCTCTCTCTCTCTCTCTCTCTCTCTCTCTCTCTCTCTCTCTCTCTCTCTCCCTCTCTCTCTTTCTCTCTCCCTCTCTCTCAGCTCTACCGGCTCCCTTCAGGGAAGGAGTGTTGCAACCCAACCTGGGACAGAAACGGCGGCGGGTAGCCTAGTAGCCTAGGGCGGCTGGTAGTCTAGCGGTTAGAGCGTTGGGCCAGTAACCGAAAGATCACTAGTTTGAATACCCGAGCTGACAAGGTGAAAAATATGTTGATGTGCCCTTGAGCAAGGCACTTAAACCTAATTTGCTCCAGGGGAGCCGTACTACTATGGCTGATCCTGTAAAACAACACTGCACCTATCCGGAGTATGTGACAATAAAACATCTTATTTTTTGACGCTGCATATCATTGGCATGTTCCAACCTGTCTGAACATACAGTACCGTAATCTGTCTATCTACAGCTTGGGGTGACTGAAATGATACAGTGATAACACGCAAAAGTGTTATTTTCCCATCTACCTCGCGTGTAGTTTAAATGTGTTTGCAGCAATGCTACACAGCATGTAAAACAAATACCACTGTACTGTAGCACTCACTTATCAGAATCGTTACTCCTGCACGTCTCACCTCATTGTTGTAGTTATTTCGTAAGTCACTTTTCAATGCATGTATTGTCCAATGCCATCCTTTAGCCAATGCTCTTAACCAGAGCAGAGCAACAAACAGTACAGTCTGTGCAGAGAGTTAATGGTAGGACTGAACCAGCACTGACAGTAGAGGAAGGGTATGGTATTCTCCTGTGTGACTAATGATTCATGTAAGCTTTAAGAGGACTATTTGCAAAGTGTGACTGTGCTGTGTATACTGTACTGTGCTGTGCTGTACTGTGCTGTACTGTGCTGTGTATACTGTGCTATGCTGTACTGCGCTGTGCTGTACTGTGCTATGCTGTACTGTGCTGTACTGTACCGGGCTGTGCTGTACTGTACTGTACTGTGCTGTGCTGTACTGGGCTGTGCTGTACTTGGCTGTGCTGTACTATACTGTACTGGGCTGTACTGTGCTGTACTGTACTGTGCTGTACTGGGCTGGGCTGTACTGTACTGTGCTGTACTGTGCTGTGCTGTGCTGTGCTGTACTGAGCTGTACTGTGCTGTACTGTGCTGTACTGTACTGGGCTGTGCTGTACTTGGCTGTGCTGTACTATACTGTACTGGGCTGTACTGTGCTGTACTGTACTGTACTGTACTGTGCTGTGCTGTGCTGTGCTGTACTGTGCTGTACTGTGCTGTACTGTACTGGGCTGTACTGTGCTGTACTGGGCTGGGCTGTACTGTGCTGTGCTGTACTGTACTGTGCTGTGCTGTACTGTACTGTGCTGTGCTGTGCTGTACTGGGCTGGGCTGTACTGTGCTGTGCTGTGCTGTACTGTACTGTACTGTACTGTACTGTACTGTGCTGTGCTGTGCTGTGCTGTACTGTGCTGTGCTGTACTGGGCTGTGCTGTACTGTGCTGTACTGTACTGTGCTGTGCTGTGCTGTGCTGTACTGTGCTGTACTGTGCTGTACTGTACTGGGCTGTACTGTGCTGTACTGGGCTGGGCTGTACTGTGCTGTGCTGTACTGTACTGTACTGTACTGTGCTGTGCTGTGCTGTACTGTGCTGTGCTGTACTGGGTTGTGCTGTACTGTGCTGTGCTGTACTGGGCTGTGCTGTACTGTACTGTACTGTACTGTGCTGTGCTGTGCTGTACTGTGCTGTACTGGGCTGTGCTGTGCTGTACTGTGCTGTACTGGGCTGGGCTGTACTGTACCGTGCTGTGTATGCTGTACTGTGCTGCTCACTTACTTAATGCTGATGGCGTACTCTGTGAACTCGCGGCTTCGGTGGCGGACCAGGTAGGTGCTATTCCCTCTGTTGATCAGTTCTGCCTCAGCCTGAAGTCTCTCCATGGGCCCAGCAAACCTACAGTCCAGGAAGCACTGACAGGTTACAGAACTGTATATAAATAAAATCAAATCACATTTTATTTGTCACATGCACGAATACAACAGGTGTAGACCTTACAGTGAAATGCTTACTTACAAGCCCTTAACCAACAATGCAGTTTTAAGAAAGAATACCAAAAATATATATATATAATAATAATACAATTAATAATTATAAAATAATACGAAATAAAAGTAACAAATAATTAAAGAGCAGCAGTAAAAATAACAATAGCGAGGCTATATACAGGGGTTACCGGTACCGAGTCAATGTGCGGGGGCACCGGTTAGTCGAGGTAATTGGGGTAATATGTACATGTAGGTAGAGTTATTAAAGTGACTATGCATAGATAATAAACAGAGAGTAGCAGCAGCGTAAAAGAAGAGTGGCGGGCAGTGCAAATAGTCTGGGTAGCCATTTGATTAGATGTTCAGGAGTCTTATGGCTTGGGGGTAGAAGTTGTTTAGAAGCCTCTTGGACCTAGTCTTGGCGCTTCGTTACCGCTTGCCGTGCGGTAGCAGAGAGAACAGTCTATGACTAGGGTGGCTGGAGTCTTTGACAATTTTTAGGGCCTTCCTCTGACACCGCCTACTATAGAGGTCCTGGATGGCAGGAAGCTTGGCCCCAGTGATGTACTGGGCCGTACGCACTACCCTCTGTAGTGCCTTGCGGTAGGAGGCAGAGCCGTTGCCATACCAGGCAGTGATGCAACCAGTCAGGATGCTCTCAATGGTGCAGCTGTAGAACCTTTTGAGGATCTGAGGACCCATGCCAAATCTTTTCAGTCTCCTTAGGGGGAATAGGTTTTGTCGTGCCCTCTTCACGACTGTCTTGGTGTGCTTGGACCATGTTAGTTTGTTGGTGATGTGGACACCAAAGAACTCGAAGCTCTCAACCTGCTCCACTACAGCTCCGTCGATGAGAATGGGGGCTTGCTCGTTCCTCTTCTTTTTCCTGTAGTCCACAATCATCTCCTTTGTCTTGATCACGTTGAGGGAGAGGTTGTTGTCCTGGCACCAAACGGCCAGGTCTCTGACCTCCTCCCTATAGGCTGTCACGTCGTTGTCGGTCATCAGGCCTACCACTGTTGTGTCATCGGCAAACTTAATGATGGTGTTGGAGTCGTGCCTGGCCATGCAGTCATGAGTGAACAGGGAGTACAGGAGGGGACTGAGAACGCACCCCTGAGGGGCCCCAGTGTTGTGGATCAGCGTGGCGGATGTGATGTTACCTACCCTTACCACCTGGGTGCGGACCATCAGGAAGTCCAGGATCCAGTTGCAGAGGGAGGTGTTTAGTCCCAGGGTCCTTAGCTTAGTGATGAGCTTTGAGGGCATTATGGTGTTGAACGCTGAGCTGTAGTCAATGAATAGCAATCTCACATACAGTGGGGAGAACAAGTATTTGATACACTGCCGATTTTGCAGGTTTTCCTACTTACAAAGCATGTAGAGGTCTGTAATTTTTATCATAGGTACACTTCAACTGTGAGAGACGGAATCTAAAACAAAAATCCAGAAAATCACATTGTATGATTTTAAAGTAATTAATTTGCATTTTATTGCATGACATAAGTATTTGATACATCAGAAAAGCAGAACTTTATATTTGGTTCAGAAACCTTTGTTTGCAATTACAGAGATCATACGTTTCCTGTAGGTCTTGACCAGGTTTGCACACACTGCAGCAGGGATTTTGGCCCACTCCTCCATACAGACCTTCTCCAGATCCTTCAGGTTTCAGGGCTGTCGCTGGGCAATACAGACTTTCAGCTCCCTCCAAAGATTTTCTATTGGGTTCAGGTCTGGAGACTGGCTAGGCCACTCCAGGACCTTGAGATGCTTCTTACGGAGCCACTCCTTAGTTGCCCTGGCTGTGTGTTTCGGGTCGTTGTCATGCTGGCAGACCCAGCCACGACCCATCTTCAATGCTCTTACTGAGGGAAGGAGGTTGTTGGCCAGGATCTCGCGATACATGGCCCCATCCATCCTCCCCTCAATACGGTGCAGTCGTCATGTCCCCTTTGCAGAAAAGCATCCCCAAAGAATTATGTTTCCACCTCCATGCTTCACGGTTGGGATGGTGTTCTTGGGGTTGTACTCATCCTTCTTCTTCCTCCAAACACAGCGAGTGGAGTTTAGACCAAAAAGCTCTATTTTTGTCTCATCAGACCACATGACCTTCTCCCATTCCTCCTCTGGATCATCCAGATGGTCATTGGCAAACTTCAGACGGACCTGGACATGCGCTGGCTTGAGCAGGGGGACCTTGCGTGCGCTGCAGAATTTTAATCCATGACGGCGTAGTGTGTTACTAATGGTTTTCTTTGAGACTGTGGTCCCAGCTCTCTTCAGGTCATTGACCAGGTCCTGCCGTGTAGTTCTGGGCTGATCCCTCACCTATCTCATGATCATGGATGCCCCACGAGGTGAGATCTTGCATGGAGCCCCAGACCGAGGGTGATTGACCGTCATCTTGAACTTCTTCTATTTTCTAATAATTGCGCCAACAGTTGTTGCCTTCTCACCAAGCCTATTGTCCTGTAGCCCATCCCAGCCATGTGCAGGTCTACAATTTTATCCCTGATGTCCTTACACAGCTCTCTGGTCTTGGCCATTGTGGAGAGGTTGGAGTCTGTTTGATTGAGTGTGTGGACAGGTGTCTTTTATACAGGTAACAAGTTTAAACAAGTGCAGTTAATACAGGTAATGAGTGGAGAACAGGAGGGCTTCTTAAAGAAAAACTAACAGGTCTGTGAGAGCCGGAATTCTTACTGGTTGGTAGGTGATCAAATACTTATCTCATGCAATAGAATGCAAATTAATTACTTAAAAATCATACAATGTGATTTTCTGGATTTTTGTTTTAGATTCCGTCTCTCACAGTTGAAGTGTACCTATGATAAAAATTACAGACCTCTACATGCTTTATAAGTAGGAAAACCTGCAAAATCGGCAGTGTATCAAATACTTGTTCTCCCCACTGTAGGTTTTCCTTTTGTCCAGGTGTGAAAGGGCAGTGTGATGCGCAATATAGATTGCATCATCTGTGGATCTGTTGGGGCGATATGCAAATTGGAGTGGGTCTAGGGTTTCTGGGATAATGGTGTTGATGTGAGCCATGACCAGCCTTTCAAAGCACTTCATGGCTACAGATGTGAGTGCTACGGGTCGGTAGTCATTTATACAGGTTGCCTTAGTGTTCTTGGGCACAGGGACTATGGTGGTCTGCTTGAAACATGTTGGTATTACAGACTCAGACAGGGAGAGGTTGAATATGTCAGTGAAGACACTTGCCAGTTGGTCAGCGCATGCTCAGAGTACACGTCCTGGTAATCCGTCTGGCCCTGCGGCCTTGTGAATGTTGACCTATTTAAAGGTCTTACTCACATCGGCTACGGAGAGCGTGATCACACAGTCATCCGGAACAGCTGATGCTCTCATGCATGTTTCAGTGTTACTTGCCTCGAAGCGAGCATAGAAGTAATTTAGCTCGTCTGGTAGGCTCGTGTCACTGGGCAGCTCGCAGCTGTGCTTCCCTTTGTAGTCTGTAATAGTTTGCAAGCCCTGCCACATCCGACGAGCGTCGGAGCCGGTGTAGTACGATTCGATCTTAGTCCTGTATTGATGCTTTGCCTGTTTGATGGTTTGTCGGAGGGCATAGCTGGATTTCTTATAAGCTTCCGGGTTAGAGTCCTGCTCCTTGAAATCGGCAGCTCTACCCTTTAGCTCAGTGCGGATGTTGCCTGTAATCCATGGCTTCTGGTTGGGGTATGTACGTACAGTCACTGTGGGGACAACGTCGCAATGCACTTAGTGATGAAGCCAGTGACTGATGTGGTGTACTCCTCAATGCCATCGGAAGAATCCCGGAACATATTCCAGTCTGTGCTAGCAAACAGTCCTGTAGCTTAGCATTTGCTTCATCTGACCACTTTTTTATTGACCGAGTCACTGGTGCTCCTGCTTTAGTTTTTGCTTGTAAGCAGGAATCAGGAGGATAGAATTATGGTCAGATTTTCCAAATGGAGGGCGAGGGAGAGCTTTGTATGCGTCTCTGTGTGTGGAGTAAAGGTGGTCTAGAGTTTTTTCCCTCTGGTTGCACATTTAACATGCTGGCAGAAATGAGGTAAAACGGATTTAAGTTTCCCTGCATTAAAGTCCCCGGCCACTAGGAGAGCCGCCTCTGTATGAGCGTTTTCCTGTTTGCTTATGGCCGTATACAGTTCATTGAGTGCGGCCTTTGTGCCAGCATCGGTTTGTGGTGGTAAATAGACAGCTACGAAAAATATAGATGAAAACTCTCTTGGTAGATAGTGTGGTCTACAGCTTATCATGAGATACTCTACCTCAGGCGAGCAAAACCTTGAGACTTCCTTACATATCGTGCACCAGCTGTTGTTTACAAATATACATAGACCGACACCCCTTGTCTTACCAGAGGCTGCTGTTCTATCCTGCCAATACAGTGTATAACCCGCCAGCTGTATGTTATTCATCTCATCGTTCAGCCACGACTCGGTGAAACATAAGATATTACAGTTTTTAATGTCCCGTTGGTAGGATATTCGTGCCTGTAGTTCGTCCATTTTATTATCAAGCGATTGTAAGTAGGCCAATAGTATCGATGGCAAAGGCAGATTAGCCACTCGTTGCCTGCTCCTTACCAAGCACCCCGATCTCCTTCCGCGATATCTCATTTTCTTTCATAAAATAAAAATTATTCGTCCAGTTCAAGGTGAGTAATCCCTGTTCTGATGTCCAGAAGCTCTTTTCGGTCATAAGAGATGGTAGCAGCAACATTATGTACAAAATAAGTTAAAAACAATGCGAAAAAACACACAAAATAGCACGGTTGGTTAAGAGTCCATAAAACGGCAGCCATCCCCTCTGGCGCCATTACTATATTCTACACAGGTAGCACGTACAGTATGATACTTGTAATTGCCCCTCAGGAGATAAATAAAGTAGTATTCAATTGAATAGGGAGGTTAGATATGCAGAGAAACACACAGGTATACACAGGCAACATCTAATGACAGAAAAACTACCAAACTGTCTACCCTACACTCACAAATAATGATTTTACTAAACTACAGCCTACATGACCTAACAACCACATATTTATTCTGAAAGGTTGATAAACTACTTGTAATGCTCCACCATATGTGCTACTGTTACAATTAATGGTATGATAACTTGAGGTCATTATCATGCATTTTTGTATTCAAGTTTGGTGAGGACCAGGCGAACGTGAACATACCAGGGTTGTGTGGAGTAGTCGACAGGTTTGGGGACCTGGGGGTAAAGACGAGAGACAGTGATAGATACAGAGAGCGATACAGAGAGAGAGATACAGAGAGAGAGATACAGAGAGAGAGATACAGAGAGAGATACAGAGAGAGAGATACAGAGAGAGAGAGATACAGAGAGAGATACAGAGAGAGATATACAGAGAGATAGATACAGAGAGAGATATACAGAGAGAGAGATACAGAGAGAGATACAGAGAGAGAGAGAGAGAGAGAGAGAGAGAGAGAGAGAGAGAGAGAGAGAGAGAGAGTAAGAGAGAGAGAGAAACATGTGAACCATTGTTCTTTCATTCCCACGAATCCCACCCAACCTGAATCTCACTATTTCATCCATCTAAGTCAGTAAATAATGTATTTTCCCCTATTGGCAAACTAAGTCAACTGTAGTCTCTTTTTTGGCGGTAGTCCCGGCTACCCTAGATACGTTTAACGTCATGTTTGGGTTTTGTTGTAAACAGGTGGTTTGGTGGTTCTTATGACCTTAATGAAGTAGGATAATGTATTTGTTATCTTTATGATGGTGTAAGCATTCAGATAGCACTATAGGTCATCTGCTCTGTGTCATTGTAAAAGTCCATCGATGAGCTGCTGAGCTCAGTTGGTAGAGCATGGCGCTTGCAACGCCAGGGTTGTGGGTTCGTTTCCCACGGGGGGCCAGTATAAAAAAAAATAAAAAATTTAAATAATGTATGCACTCACTAACTGTAAGTCGCTCTGGATAAGAGTGTCTGCTAAATGACTAAAATGTCAAATGTAAATGTAATTTTGTCTGACTAAGAACAGACACATTACAGCAATGTGAATTCTGAAGGAACATGATTATAAAATCAAGACATAAAGTTATAATTCAAAATGCACAAAATATAGTTTTACTAGTAAATGTTTCAAATGCATTTAGTAATAGAGGACAGCATTTCCCAAACTCGGTCCTGGGGACCACAAGGGTTGCAAGTTCTTTGCACTAGCACTACACAGCTGATTTAAATAGTCAACTCATCATCAAGGTAAGAAATGTGAAATTACACAGTAAAGTATCTAAACTGTCTTTTTTAATCCAACTGTTAAATTAAATACTGCAGTTAAAGCTACATGTATTATCTTCTTTAAACATAATCAGGTAAAATCACCTACAATTTCCACAAAGATAAACTGCCTAACAATCATCTCACCACCTGGAAGAATATGTTCATCTGCCTGCTTACCCACCCGAGTGTCTACTCTACTGCTAGGACAACACAGTGCTGAGTGCTTAGCTTACACATGGGCACGGCTTCACGGCGTCGCTTGGAAAGAAGCCAACCTCTCTCGTCGTCAGAATTTTGCCCTGAAACCATAGCAGAGAGAGAGAGAGAGAGAGAGAGAGAGAGAGAGAGAGAGAGAGAGAGAGAGAGAGAGAGAGAGAGAGAGAGAGAGAGAGAGAGAGAGAGAGACAGAGAGAGAGAGAGACAGAGAGAGAGAGAGACAGAGAGACAGAGAGAGAGAGAGTGAGAGACACAGAGGGAAAACGAGGGAGGGAGAGAGAGAGATAATTGCGTTACATTCGGCTGGGTGACTTCTTGTAATTTAGCAACAATTCGGTCAGCAACGCAGAGCAGATTTACAGGCATAGTTAATTATTGTTTAAATAATCGCTCATGGAGAGAGTTGAGTTAAGGAACAGCTGAGACTGAGGACTTTCTTCTCTCCCACTGGTAATGACTCGAAGGGAGTCTAGTAGCCTGTAATACAATGCAGACTCATTGGCTGATTTAACATGTGTGTGTGTGTGTGTGTGTGTGTGTGTGTGTGTGTGTGTGTGTGTGTGTGTGTGTGTGTGTGTGTGTGTGTGTGTGTGTGTGTGCGCGTGTGCCACGTTTCCCTGCCTAATCTCCCACTTTCTTTCTATTCTCTTTCAGGCTCTTTCACACACATAGATATAGCACATCTGAGCCTCTTCCTCCCACACTTGGGCCCATCTGATTTTGTTAGGCCTGCGCTCCTGAAGCGCCCCTGATACAGTTAGCCTAATCACATTTTATCAGTGCTCTTGGAAAGCTCTGCTATTGGTTATGGGGTTATGGGGCTCTGATGAGTGTTGTGATAATCATCAAGCCTTAACCCTGTTAGAGTAAACAAACGCAAGCCAAGGGGGGGAAATGAAATTACAGTGATCGATTATATTAATCTAGCACCAGCACAGGAATTATGGTCTGCTGGTTACCACGGTGATGAATAATGAGCATTCAGTAATTCGGTCTGCTGTCACAGAGATGAAGTAACCTAAAGGTGATGATGTAAAGATGTAATTTTTTACACAATATCAAATTAAATATATTAAATGATAAATATATAACTCTCATTCAACAGCTAAGGTATTGGTGATTGTCCACTGCTTGGCGGTACACCTCCCCCGAAATAGCATTAAACAAAATTTGCATGCTAGAGATGAATCTGTGTGAATATCAAAAATGACGCTCACCACACACACAAAAATACACACATACGCACACTCACACACATGCCCACTCCTCCCAGCCTATGCCAGCTATAGTGAGGCTGTGCCAGCAAAGTGACAGTGCTGAAAAGCCTGGGCTATCACACCTAGTGTCTCTGACTCCAGTATGTCTGACTGAACACAGGCCAGTCCATAGAGAGAGAAAGGAAGTGGGAGAGAGGTGAAAATGGAAGGTGTGAGAAAGAGGGGAGGGATGGGAAGGGAGAGAGAGAGAGATAGAGAGAGCGAGAGAGAGAGAGAGAGCGCTTCTATTTCTAGGCCCCAGTGGACTTAGGCAGAGCCAGAGCAGACAGCAGAAATAGCAAATAGCCGTCCTCCCTGCTGCTGCTGTTGTAACGCCATCCATCCAGCCATCCAGCCAGCCAGCCAGCAAACAAGCCAGCCAGCTAGCCCAAAACACACAAACACAGAGCTGGAAGGTGTCTGAATGGGCATGTGCCTCTGTTTGGTTTGGAAAGTCACAAAAACACACATTGGCAGGGTAAGCTGTACACAAAGGCGGTGATGCCCACACCCTAATCTGGCGTGCTCCTGGAGGCCTGTTATTGTTCTCCCAGATTAAAGACGCATCATGGAAAAATGTGCTTGTGCGTACGTGTGTTATAAGACTTCCCCCACCTGACAACATGGTGAAATGTTCAGTGCCAACACATCTGTTGTCAGGGTGTTATGTCTCCCTGTGTACCCCCCGTGTTTACAAGAACTCGTCAATGTTGCTGTAAAAATGCCTCGCTGAAACCTACAGCTTGTAACAACAGTTTCAACAATTAACAAAGCAGTGGATTAGCCAGTGTTTCATGTGCAGTCATCCTTAGCAGTGTGTGACGGACAGACAATGCAGCTAGATATACACTGGAGTCACACTGGAGTCACACAGTGCAGAGGCACAGTCAGATTAGAATAAACTGCCAAACAAAACAATCCAGTCTAATAAAATCAATAAGACCCATGTTGATTACTGAATATTGTGAGAATTAAACAGAAATCTTAAACAGAAAGAAGACTTACACTTGTTGCTATATACTAAATAGAATGACAGCTTTCCTTCCATTTAGTTATTGTCCCAGTCTAATAGGTGTGTCTTTCAATAGGTGTACCTGCACAGTGCTGGTACACAACAATGTTATGTCACTGGTCAGGGCAGGGCTTAATGTTTCAGTTTACACAATGGTGCATATGATTCACTGATTGAACAAAACAATTCATTTAGTTTCATTTGAAATTGTTTGTACATGATTTGATCAAGAGGAGTGAGGTAATATGTAATGGTGGAGAGAAGTGACACTTCACCAGCCACACACACACACACGCACACACACGTCTCTCTCACCTGCCACCAGGAGCTGTGTAGATCGGCACAGACCAGCTCGATGATGTCACCTTGCTGGATGTTGAGGGGTGGGCCACATATGGGACTTGGCACACCAAAATAGTTCCTGGTCACCAACATCTTAGGTAACCCTGAGAGAGAAAACACAACCACAATTTCAGTGTGAGTGTGTGTGTGTGTTCATATTAATCTATAAGGGTGTGTGTGCAGATCAGAAAGCAAAACAATGCACCTTTGCCACCCTCCCACTTGTCACCATACCAACCATCCATCTATGACCAAGCAATCTAAAGGTATGAAACAATAGCTTTATCCTTGAGTCTTGGTAACATCGCATGTGCTATTGTCCAATTTTCCAGTCATCAAGCGTTTTTGTTATCCAAAGGTAAAACAAAAGCCAGGTAGATTCCAACAGAGTAGAATAGAATGAATAGAACCATATGCTTGGCAATATCTGCTCAATTGTGTTTGTATCTAAGGAGATTCAGTTCAAACAAGAACAGAGTGTGTTTACAATCCACCACACATCGTTGTGTTTCTCACTCCATGGTGATGAAGACAGCTCAGACTCTTATAAAGAGAGTAGAAACAGAAAAAGGAGGATGGGGGAGAATAGATTATGGATGGTCGACGAGAGAGGGATGCAGCTGTATTTTAAAGTACCTGTGTTCCTGGGGAAGAGGGGGGAGGGGGGGGGGGGGTCTATGATAGTAACACTCCCTAAATCTCTAATCCTTATGGCCTAAGATGGAGATGGTCTGTATAGCTGTGGGATGCCTCTTTGGTGATGGACAGAAGCTCTCCTGTGAGCTGAGAGGGTGCTTTAATACTAGAAAAGCTAGCAGGGCTGAAGATTGGGCTCTCACGGTCGCTTCTGCACACACACACACACACACACACACATAAGCGCACACACACACACACACCAATGGCATGCACACACGCATACACAAGACAAAGGATATCTTCCATTAAGCACGACAATGCCTTTCTCTCCCCACAGCTGCTCATGAAGAGAACCGAGGAAATAGCAACCCCTCCACCACAGTCCACAGACACCAGAGAGACAGAGAGAGAGAGAGAGAGAGAGAGAGAGAGAGAGAGAGAGAGAGAGAGAGAGAGAGAGAGAGAGAGAGAGAGAGAGAAGAGAGAGAGAGAGAGAGAGAAAAGAGAGAGATCAAAAAGAGAGTGAAAGAGATTGAAAGATGAAAAAGTTTCAAAAGCCAAGCAGTGGAGTTTGAGAATGACAAAAGAGAGAGGTTGATTATCCTTCATCTTATAGGAATGAATAATTTGGGGGAGGGTGAGCACATTTTTCTGGAAATATAAAGCATTTTGTGAGAACTGAATAGTTGTGAATGGGCGGTGTGAAAAGGCCAAAGGGAGAGACTGAGGGAGAGACTGAGAGAGAGACTGAGAAAGACTGAGGGAGAGACTGAGAGAGAGACTGGGGGAGAGTGAGAGAAATAATGAGAGAAAGACTGAGGTAGAGACTGAGAGAAATACTGAGGTAGAGACTGAGGGAGAGACTGAGGGAGAGACTGGGGGAGAGTGAGAGAAATACTGAGAGAAAGACTGAGGTAGAGACTGAGAGAAATACTGAGGGAGAGACTGAGGGAGAGACTGAGGGAGAGACTGAGAGAGAGACTGAGAGAGACTGAGGGAGAGACTGAGAGAGAGACTGGGAGAGAGTGAGGGAGAGACTGAGGGAGAGACTGAGGGAGAGACAGAGAGAGACAGAGAGAAAGACTAAGGGAGAGACTGAGATATATACTGAGGGAGAGACTGAGAGAGAGACTGAGGTAGAGACTGAGGGAGAGACTGAGGGAGAGACTGGGGGAGAGTGAGAGAAATACTGAGAGAAAGACTGAGGTAGAGACTGAGAGAAATACTGAGGGAGAGACTGAGGGAGAGACTGAGGGAGAGACTGAGAGAGAGACTGAGAGAGACTGAGGGAGAGACTGAGAGAGAGACTGGGAGAGAGTGAGGGAGAGACCGAGATAAATACTGAGGGAGAGACTGAGGGAGAGACTGAGGGAGAGACTGAGGGAGAGCCTGAGAAAGAGACTGAGGGAGAGACTGAGAAAGAGACTGCCTCCCAGCAGAGTAGCTGTGCTTTAGTACCAGTACAGAGGCAGAACTGAACTGAGGTCATTTCACACTGAGCAACTTAATGAATCAACAGACCCCAATATACCCAGGGAGACCCCCATGTCTTCAACACTATGCCGTGGACGTCATCCTGATGGAGTGTGTGTGAATGTGTGTGTGTGTGTGCGTGTGTGCAGGTTCTCCTAACCCTTTTAAAATGTTAATGATCCCATTATAGAAGATAATGAGGGGAGACACACACACGCACACACATTCACACACACACACACACATTCACACACACGCACACACATTCACACACACACACACACATTCACACACACACACACACACACACACACACACCTGTCGTTCCATCATAACCATATCCTCTCTCATATCATAATGCTTCATCAAGTTAACCATGCAGACATACAGTATAACTATACTCTAGTTCCTCCTCCAGTTATCAGATGAGAGATAACTTTCTACACTATGTGTGTTTGGGTTCAGACCTGTTTATTAGACCTGTTTACTGTTGCACAGCCATTAACTGGTTATTTCCTGGTTGTCCTACACTAGCACTCCTGACCTGGCCTATTTCACCCTGACACACTAGTACACATTCCCCACTCTGCTGTAGACATCGGGGCGAGATTGAGTGGTTGCTTTTGTTCTGTTTTCCTCTCGGTATCTGATTCCAGCAAACAGTCTATTGAGTCCGGGGTAACGTGTGTTAGCTTGCCCTAACAGGCACAGACACCAGTACGTGAGAATTATCAGTGAGGAGAACCGAGTCTCAGAGCATGAAATGCATTTCCAACAACACAAGGACAAACCCTGTGTTAGTTCACCTTTGAGCAGACAGAACTATGCAAGTGTGGACAATTATGAAATGATAAGGGCCCAAGCAATCAAGTGCCTATTGATTTCACTGCATGGTGGGTCAATAAGGATTTTCCACAGTGTAACAGGCAATTTACACCCTCCTCCTCATGTAGCTGTGTGTCTCTGATTTGAGAGTTTGCAATATGTCATGGTGCATTCCTATAGAGAGGGGGAGAGAGAGAAAGAGAGCGAGAGAGGGGGGGGGGGGGGGGGGGGGGGGGGGTGCGTTGATTATATGACCGAGGTCAGTGGGTAGAAGATGACTGTTATTACCATGTTGTATTCAGAATGCACTAACCTGGATCTGATCGCCGTCCGTGCACTGATTTTTCCTGCAATGGAAAAAAACAGACACCATGATCAACTACTGTGACACACACACACACACACACACACATATACACACAATGACTCATTTCATAGAATTACCAAAAAAGTTCACTCTCACTGCATTCTGGAACACAGGTTTGCTCAGACAGAGATTGAGATGTAAACCTAATGTTTCCTCTCCCTAACCTATTACATCCCTAACATACATACATATATACATATACACATACATGCATACATAAATTGTATATGTACATTGTGACATGCACACAGTGAGATGTATTCCAATGTAATAAAGCTGACCAGATACTGTAGCAAGCAAACAAACCAGCCATGATGAGAAAACGGGGCCTGCCTCCAGTTGGAACTCATACATATATTATGTGATAACTTTAATTCATATACGGTAATTTTACAGGCCCACACAAACCTCCCCACTGCTGTAGGGTAAATGGGTTAAATACGTCATACTCTGTAGGGTTGCATTGCATCACCAGTAAATGCATTTCTATCTAACATTACATGCTAAATAACTGATTTATCTTGTTGCAGTGAGATGAATATGGAGGGACCGGTTGGGTAATGCTATGAATATGCCTGCTCTGCTGTGCAAACACACAATGAATATTTCATCCAATGCTATCTCTGCAAACAGACATAGCATGCATTGAGCCAATATGTATTTTTATGCATAATACATCATCAACTCCATCACCATTTATAACCTTCAGAATCACAGAATCACAATCTATCTTAGCCACCTTAAAAAAACATTCAAAATAGTTGCCAAAGTTGATACATTTCTTATCGTGCATTTTTTAAAACATGAAAAGGTATGAAAGAGGAAACGCAATGGAATGCAACACATGGGGGCTGCAGTTATATGCTAAGACCTGGCCTTCACAACTCTCCAATCATCTACAGAAGAATTCTCTATCTATCGGCTCACGCTAAAATAAGTAAAGTCAATTGGAGTTTCTTCGGCAATATCCACAGAGAGGGGAACGTCTTCAAAGGAACAGAACAGAACAGAGCAGAACTTTGGAAGAGGGAAAGCAGACACAAACACACACACTGTCTTACCTGAGTTCTGAAGGAGCCTGGATCTGAAAGGAGTTTGAAAACAGGCATGGTGAGTGGGTTACAAGGGGAACGCATAACAGCCACACACACAATCACGATCACACACACAAACTGTTACGCAACACACACACACACTCTCTCACACACACAGTGTTCCAGCACTGCAGAAGCACTCTCTCATTAGTGAAGCAGAAAGCAACTCCCGGTCCTGTCTACTCTTTTTACTCATTGGTTTGTTGTGCTGTGCTGAAGGTACCTGACAGGAGTAAAGAGTCTGGAGTAAACCACTTCAGGGGGCAGGGCTGACGACTGTTCTGCTCTGAGAGTTTGTTCTCTGTTTGTTCATTGGCTCCCCTGGGACGGGCTACACCCCATCAACAAGTACCCCTCCCCCTCCCTCCTCCCGCTCCCTCTACAGCAGACAGCCAGGCAGCTCTGGAACAAACTTTGACCTGTTACACAAAGTAACGCTGAACAGGGCTGATAACGCAGAGCAGAGGGAGAGAGAGCCAACTGGGACCTGAGGTAAACAAGCCTCACCTGCAGAATACCCTGGAGACAGAGTACTGTAAACACATACCTCCACAGAACTGCAGCATAACGCTGTGTCGTAATGCACAGTGGTGTTACTTAGGCACAACGCTGTGTTCCAAGGCAGAGTATTCATTGTTGCAATGCACATTCCTGATTGTCCATGGATGTTGTGATTGTGTTCTATTGTTTTCCTGTAATACCTGCTATGTGTTGATGAGGTTACTATGTCTATTGATACTCAGCCAACATCAGCCATGCATTAATAACTGCTTAACAAGCAAGTTGGTAGTGAAATTATAGCTGCAACATAACATACTGCAACCAAGTACATTCTACTTACTAACACTGTAAAAGGGACTAACGTGTATCTCTAAATGGGAGAAATTAGGGAAACAATTGTGAGTTTCTCCAGCCCCCCATGGCATGACACTAATCTATTCAGGGAAGCTAGTGTTCAGGTGTGGCTGGTGACTGTGTTATTGCACTGCTGACCTGATTTCTTGTGAGTGATGCCAACACCAACAGGAGCAGGCACCTTGCTGCAATCTGCACACACACACACACACACACACACACACATACACACATACACACACACATATACACACACACACACAGCCCACTGACACACTCACTGCAAGTCAGGGGAAGTCTGCAGGACCTGTTTGTCACGATGTGTGTATGTCATCATCAGTCTACTCTAATCACCCATTGTGTGTGTGTGTGTGTGTGTGTGTGTGTGTGTGTGTGTGTGTGTGTGTGTGTGTGTGTGTGTGTGTGTGTGTGTGTGTGTGTGTGTGTGTGTGTGTGTGTGCGCGTGTGCGTGTGTGCAGTGAACAGTTTAAAGGTATGTATGGTGAGTAAGCACAGCGAGCAGCTTGCTGCATCTAATGTTATTTGATTGGAGCTATATAAGTGTTCAGGTTTCATACTCTGACCAATCCCCATACACAGTGACTATGAGCTTTTCCGTATTGTAGGTTAATTATCAGCAGCTTTTCAATTTACTTTCAGGTATACACATTAACATGAAATATACATTTTAAGAGTATATACACTATGTATACAAAAGTATGTGGACACCCCTTCAAATGAGTGGATTTGGCTATTTCGTTGCTGACAGGTGTATAAAATGTAGCACACAGCCATGCAATCTCCATAGACAAACGTTGGCAGTAGAATGGCCTTACTGAAGAGCTCAGTGACTTTCAACGTGGCACCGTCATAGGATGCCACCTTTCCAAAAAGTCAGTTTGTCAAATTTCTGCCCTGCTGCCCCGGTCAACTGTAAGCACTGTTGTTATGAAGTGGAAACGTCTAGGAGCAACAATGGCTCAGCTGCGAAGTGTTAGGCCACACAAGCTCACAGAACGAGACCGTAGAGTCTGTCCTCGGTTTCAACACTCACTACCGAGTTCCAAACTGCCTCTGGAAGCAACATCAGCACAATAACTGTTCGTTGGGAGCACCATTAAATGGGTATCCATGGCGGAGCAACCGCACACAAGCCTAAGATAATCATGCGCAATGCCAAACTGTCACGCCCTGGCTCTGGGGACTCTAGTATGTTGAGCCAGGGTGTGAGTTTTCATTTGTTTTCGTTCTAGTTTAGTATTTCTATGTTGGCCAGTGTGGTTCTCAATCAGAGGCAACAGGTATCAGCTGTTGCTTGTTGTCTCTGATTGGGAACCATACTTAAGCAGCCAGTTTTCCCACAGTGTTTGTGGGATCTTGTTCCTGTATAGGTTTGTGTTTTGGCACCATTGGACGTCACGTTATCGTTTGTTGTTTTTGTTCGTGTTATCATTCAAGTTAATAAAATATGTTCACCTTCCACGCTGCGCCTTGGTCCTCTGTGCCCGACGATCATGACAGAAGATCCCACCAACACTGGACCAAGCAGCGTGTCCAGGAGCCAGCGCCAGAGGTATCGCTAAAGGACATCAACCTCGACTGGGCTTGGCCCACAGGGAGGAGAGACCCCCAGAAATTTTTTAGGGTGGGGCTCACGCCGTGGACGACGGGGCAGCAGGAGGCCGCGATAGAGCGGTCCAGCGGGTTTGCAGAGGAGGCCGCCAGGTTAAGGGGGCCACTGGTCACAGAGGAGAGGGAAAGTGTAGAGGCACGGCGAGAGGTACTGGGGTGTGTTACCAGTCCGGTCCGGCCCGTTCCTGATCCCTGCGTAGGGCCAGTGGTGTGTGTCCCCAGTATGGTCCGGCCTGTTCCTGTTCCTCGCATCGAGCCTGTGGTGCGCGTCGTCAGCCCGGCCCGGCCTGTTCCTGCTCCCCGCACCAAGCCTATGGTGCGCATCGTCAGCCCGGTTCGGCCCGCTCCTGCTCCCCGCACCAAGTCAGTGGTGCGCTTCGTCAGCCCGGTCCGGCCCGCTCCTGCTCCCCGCACCAAGTCAGTGGTGCGCTTCGTCAGCCCGGTCCGGCCCGCTCCTGCTCCCCGCACCAAGTCAGTGGTGCGCTTCGTCAGCCCGGTCCGGCCCGCTCCTGCTCCCCGCACCAAGTCAGGGGTGCGTTTCGTCAGCCCGGCTCGGCCCGTTCCTGCTCCCCACACCAAGCCAGTGGTGTGCGTCGTCAGTCCGGCACAGCCCGTGCCTGTTCCACCGGTGCCTGGTTCGGCACGGGTCAGCTGCTTCACGCCGGAGCTAGAGCAATCCGCTCCACCAGTGTGCAGTCCAGCTCCGGTCAGCAGGGCCAGACCGGACCAGGGGTACTTTGGGGGGTTAGAGAGGGAGTGGGGATCATGCCCGGAGCTGGATCCGCCGCCAAGGCGGAGTGCCCACCCGGTCCCTCCCCTGTGGTGTTTGGTTGGCGCGGTCGGAGTCCGCGCCTTTGGGGGGGGGGTACTGTCACGCCCTGGCTCTGGGGACTCTAGTATGTTGAGCCAGGGTGTGAGTTTTCATTTGTTTTCGTTCTAGTTTAGTATTTCTATGTTGGCCAGTGTGGTTCTCAATCAGAGGCAACGGGTATCAGCTGTTGCTTGTTGTCTCTGATTGGGATCCATACTTAAGCAGCCAGTTTTCCCACAGTGTTTGTGGGATCTTGTTCCTGTATAGGTTTGTGTTTTGGCACCGTTGGACGTCACGTTATCGTTTGTTGTTTTTGTTCGTGTTATCATTCAAGTTAATAAAATATGTTCACCTTCCACGCTGCGCCTTGGTCCTCTGTACCCGACGATCGTGACACAAACGTCAGATGGAGTGGAGTAAAGCTCGCCACCATTGGACTCTGGAGCAGTGGAAACGCGTTCTCTGGAGTGACGAATCACGCTTCACCATCTGGCAGTCCGACGGACGAATCTGGGTTTGGTGGATGCCAGGAGAACGCTACCTGCCTGAATGCATAGTGCCAACTCTAAAGTTTGGTGGAGGAGGAATAATGGTCTGGGGTTGTTTTTCATGGTTCGGGCTATTCCCCTTAGTTCCAGTGAAGGGAAATCTTAACGCTACAGCATACAATGACATTCTAGATGATTCTGTGCTTCCATCTTTGTGGCAACAGTTTGGGGAAGGCCCTTTCCTGTTTCAGCATGACAATGCCCCCGTGCACAAAGCGAGGTCCAGTGCGGAAGAACTTGACTTTGCTGCACAGAGCCCTGACCTCAACCCCATCGAACACCTTTGGGATGAATTGGAACGTTGACTGCGAGCCAGGCCTAATCGCCCAACATCAGTGTCCGACCTCACTAATGCTCTTGTGGCATTGTTCCAACATCTAGTGGAAAGCCTTCCCAGAAGAGTGGAGGCTGTTATAGCAGCAAAGGGGGGACCAACTCCATATTAATGCCCATGATTTTGGAATGAGATGTTCGACGAGCGGTTGTCCACATAGTGTATGTACTGTACCACTTGTACTGTAGTGCTTTCTTGCGTCTGTGTTTTGAGGGGGGTTCTCACCTGTTTTTCCACAGCCGCCAAACCTCCCCAGACATTCCTTATGGGCTCCAACACCACACTTGGAGCACAGGTACCCCTGGTTAAAGATGCCCCTGGGAGAGAGAAGAGAGGGACAACCAGTGTTACACAGTGTGGTATGTCTGTGTGTGTGTGTGGTGTGGTGTGTGTTTGGTGTGTGTGTGTG